ACAAGAGAGACTTCTCATGAACATAACGTGAGAATTTCAGCTTGATTAACATAATACTCTTTTTTGTGAGTGATTTTCAACCATCCTATACATTTAGTACCCCTAATTTCGTACATTTATGAAGAGGGGTGTGGTTTGTATAAGGCCGAGGCCCTAAACAATCAAAAAAGCGTACTTTTAAATAGTGTCAAAATATGTTGTTTCAATATTAAAAATCTTTATACTGGTCTGAAAATTTATTTTTATCTCTAATTATAAAATTTAAAAGTTTAAAAATAGTGTGGATCTAGCAGATCTATGAACACCTGAAAATATTGAAAATTGACAGTCTAGATAATACATTACATGATGCACTATTATCAATACTTGAAATCCCATACATTTTGAAGTCAAGATGATTGAATTTGAGGGGTTTTTAACATCGAAACAACATCTTCTAATAAATTTTTGATGTGCGCCTTATTTTGATGGTTTAGGGCTTCACTCTTAAACTTTTTCCTATGTAGGGAGGGGCTGGCAGACCTCTCAGAGATAATCTCTTTGGTCAGTGAGACAGAGATGGCGGATTAAATAGCAAATAAAATACAACATACTATTGGATAAGTAAATTTAGGAAAAGGAGCTACTCAAGAAGATGTTTTCAATATGAAAATTTAAAGGCCCATACAAGTATTTCTAACATAAAAATGCTAGATATTGAGTTCCCATGCGGTTAAACTTGACCATCAAAAAATTGGGTAGTCTTTGTTGTGTCTCTTGGCTGTATTTACTTAGCCACTTATGGAAGTGCGATTTGCTTGTCAATATTAAACAATCAAATAAGGCTACCTATAAAACCCATCAAAATATTAGTTTTGTTAGAGTTTAATTGGGTGAAATGGAGGCAGAAAATGATCCGATTAGCAAAAATTAAAGCTCGAACTCTTATTGTTTTCAGGCACGCAAGAGCGCTATCTCAAGACGATATTTGTCTCCATTCGATGTAGTATTTGAGGTGTATAAGAAAGGCAATTCGTCACCGGGATACAGAAAAATAGAGAGGTCTTTTACAATGTTCCTAAGCTCTATGCACCATAGCTAATAATCCACACAATAGAACCAGAGTATTAATGTATTTGAGAGAGAGAGAGAGAGATGAGTCGAGAGAGAGAGTTAGCCTACTGTTGTGCTTGTTGGAATTGTAGAGAAATGCTCTATTGAGAGAGATGCAAAGGCTATAAAATGGTGTCTCTCATATGGGATAGAAGCCCCATTACATAAAGCTACAAGGTAGCTGCTCATTAACTGTAGTGGTGGTTACATGTACCACCAACGGCTACAAGTTATATGCAGCCCCTTAAATCACTTGTAGCGATGTCACCATCTACAAGTTACATACACTTTAACTCTCTTGATGGCTTTTTGCCTCCATCTCATCAATGACTAGATGACTATTGGATCCCCCATACGATCCAAGCTCATGCAGCCCCTTAACTCACGTGCAGCGAACCAAGCTCATGTAGCCCCTTAACTCACTTGTAGTGATGGTTACATGTACTATCTACAAGTTACATACACTTTAACTCTCTTGATGGCCTCTTACCTCCATCTCATCAACGACTAGATGACTGTTGGATCCCCCATATGAACCAAGCTCACAAAAAGATAACTAGCCACGTGCCCGACCCGCATACGTATTCGGATGAGGGGTGCCTCACGTGAAGTGTAGAGTGTGTCATCAAGCGCCCTCGCCCTCTTTCACATAAAAGACTCATGTGAAGTGTAGCGTGTGTCATCAAGCGCCCTCGCCCTCTTTCACATACATGCATGTGCGTGTGCTCCGCACATGCACATTCTCTCTCCTTTGTACTTAGAGTATATTATATGGGAATATGCGATCTTAAATACAGCCCAAGAAACTCTCTCATCTTCAATGTGGAATTCAAACCGACATCTTTCTCTCTCTACAAGAGCAATTTAGGAAAGAATAACAAAACCAAAATTGTTGTTTTGAATACACTCAAGCATTTTCCAAACAAAAAATACCAACAGTTTCAGTATTAAAAATCTAAAGTTTTAAAATTGGTGTAGATTGAGCAAATCTATAAACATTTAAAAACATTGATAATGTGTTATATAATGCACTATTTTTAAGATTTCAACTATTTTTTATTTCCTATCCATTTGTGAGGGTCAAGACTTATCAATACGAAAAAAATTTAAAATCAAAATAGTTGCTTCAAGTAATTTTTTTAGTACAACTTAATTGTCACCTAGTATAAACTTTGCAAAAGTATCCAAAGATATCATTTACTTCTAATACAAATAGGTGATAAAGACTTTTTGTAAAAAATCATTGACTAGATTCAAAGTTAAAAAAAAAAAATCTTGAATTCACGACGCATTCTAAGCCATTTGATTTAATATCCACTAGCTAATAATACTTGTGACCTCTTTTTACTAAAGATAAATAATATTATGGGTGTGGTTTGCATAAGGTTGTAACCTAAAATAATCAAATTAAGACACGCCTCCAAATTTTATCATAAATGTAATTGTAGTGTCAAATTTTTTTAGGATGCGTAGAGAATCTATATTCATATTTAACTATAAACTTTTAAACGCCAAAAATAATTCAAATTAAGAAAATCTATAAACACATGAAAATCTTAAAAATAGACGGTCCAGATAATGTTTTGCAAGATACATTATGTTTGGGACTTGAAATATTTTTTTATTTTCATATCTATACATCTGAACATTGAGATGATCAATTAGATAGCTTTTCAAGATCTAAACAACCTTTTATGATGGATTTTTTAAATGCACTTTAATTTTACATTTTAAAATTACAACCTTATGTAAACTTGGTAAAATTGCACACCTCCCCCCCCCCCCCCCCCAAAAAATGGACTTTTTTACACACTTTACCCACCCAACTTTTCCACAGCGATTATTTTTGCTGGAATGGCCAGTCCGGTGTTTCATGGGGGCTGTTTGGCTTTTCATGGTGGTGGTCCGATGATTATTTTTTGCTGGAATAAGCGGTCCGATGATTATTTTTTGATGGAATAGGCGGTTCGGCGTTTGAAGTTGTGGTACGACCTTTTGAAGAGGCAGTTCGGCGTTTTGATATGGCGGTCTGACATTTTGAAGGGGCAGTCCGGCGTTTTGATATGGTGGTCCGGCAATTTAAAGGGGCAGTCTGACATTTTGATATGGCGGTCCGGCATTTTGAAGGGGCAGTTCGGCGTTTTGATATGGCGGTCTGGCATTTGAAGGGCAGTCCGGCGTTTTGAAGTAGCGGTCCGTCGTTTTGAAGTAAGGAATCCGATGTTATCCAAGTGCATTCAGGTGTTTCTTTTTATTAGGATCCGAAAATAATTTGTTACATAAAGGAAGGGTATTTTCATTGAAAAAATAAATAATTTTTTGTATGGGGGTATTTGCTAGGAAACATGATTTGTTTTTGTGCGAAGTTGTTGGGAAAAGTTGGATAAAAGGTAAAGTGCTTAAAAAATCCATTTTGGGGGTTTGCGATTTTCCCTATAAATTTTTTCTGAACATTTTTAATATTATAGTATACAATCCCATAAAGTTTTTCCCTAGGTGAATGTTTTAATTCTCAAAGACCGACCCACAAGTTTAAATGCGGTTCTACAAATGACTCGTATGCTCTCGAGAAAGCGTCTTTGGGCGAGAGATAAACAAGTGCCTTCCCGTATGCCACGTCGCGGGACCATTTAAGGGAGCATGCGAAGTATTCACTCAAAAAGAAGAGGACTATGCAGAGAACTCTAGAATCCAGGGAGCACAAAAGATTTTGTACTGTACTCTTGCAGGAACAGATTATGTATTTAATCCTTTTAATAGATTCTTATTCGGAGGTGTTTTTAAGATTCTAAATTTTCTAACCTTTCAATCCAATAAGTCGCCTCTTAAAAGAATTATTTAAATTGGACTATTTATTCATTATTATTATCTGAGCGATATTCTAGTTGTTTGGGAGCAGTTAGATTAGTCTTACTCGGTCCCTCCATTAGGATCAAAATTTATAATAAGATGTAGCAAAATTATTATATTGGCTATCAACCTAATATACTCCTCCTCCTATAGTCGAGTCTTTATTGTTTATAAAAAAGACATACCTCAAAGTTGAATTGAGTCATCCAATTTTTTTAAAATGAGATTTGAAGTATTGAAAGTTTCATTTTGAAAAATTGTCGTATGTTAGAGAACTCATTTTTACATATGAGTCCTCCAAGGAATAAAACATCCATCGATAGATGCTACCGGGTAGTCCTTCCAAAAAAAAAAAAAATTATGAACAATAGGCTAAAAAGCTCTTCATACATAATCATTTTTAGTTTTTTACAATTTATTTTTTTACATATTCATGATTTTCATGTCATAAATTATATATTCATTAAAAATCAAGCCCAAAAACCATCTCAAAAATATTTTTTTTAAAAAAATGGCTCACTTCTATGTACGAGTCCCAGGACTCATAGAAACTGTTAACGGACTATAAAGACAGTTTGATCTCATTGGTGCACATAATATGAGGCGATCCCGCTCGCGCAAATAAAGAAGATTCAAAACGAAAGACCCTTTGTTTTCGCCCATTAATTTTTTACCGCTAATTACCAAGAAATATCTCGAAACCCCTCTCTCTCTCTAAAGAGATTTCTAGAGAGAGACCTCTATAACTCTCTCCCTTCCAATATAATCCTCTCTCAACAACTTTGCCTTCGGTTTCATTCTCGGTTTCTCTCACCAAAACCCAACATTTCCTTAGCTGCTTTCTCTCACTAAAACCCAAAAGTTTCCTTATCTACTTTCTCACACTAAAACCCAACAATCCAATCTCTCAATATTTTATATATTACTCCCCATCTAATCTTATCTTGTCTCTTTCCTTTAATTTCATTAGAATCCAAACTTGGGTTTTCCTCAAATCTCACCTCATTCTCTCTCTAAAAAGATGAGGAATTTGTTGGTATTGTGTCTAGTGTTGATGGACCTTCCCTGTGAAGGGAATAGTGCCATATAGAAACTTATGGGACATGATGGTCCCTCAAGAGGTGATGGATCCTTTCAGAGTTTTAGAGCAAAGCCCAATTACTGTTCTCAAAGGTGTACAAGGGTTGGCTCTTGCGAAGGCAGACTGGAAAGAGAACCCTCTCTCTCATGTCTTCGCTCTAGATGTACCGGGTATTTAGAGAGAGAAACTCTTTGATTTCGCTTTCTTATTGTTATCAAAGTGGGAGATGGGCTTATGGAGTATGCAACTTTAAACAAGGCTACTTTAGGTATCTAGGTTTTTTAGAGAGAGAGAGAGAGGGAGGTGAATTCTTTAAATTCGAGACAGGCTTGAATGGGTTTATGGTTTTGTTTTTCTGGAAATTGATGGTTTCTCATTCAGGGGTGGTAACGGGTCGGGTTCGGTTGGACTTTTTGGACCTGGATCCAAACCTCGAGATCGGGTCTTCCCGTCCAGTCCTGGGTTTTGTCAGGTCCATTGACTATACTCTCTCTCTAGAGACAAGTATTTGATGCATACCATTGACTACACTCTCTCTCTAGAGACAAGTATTTGATGCATACTCATTTTTTGACAATTGGGTGACAGGGATCAGCAAAGAGGACATAAAAATTGAGGTCGAAGACAACCGAGTCTTAGAATAAGTGGAGAGAGAAAGGCCGAAGAAGAGAGAGAAAGTGATAAATGGCACAGGGCTGAGAGGACGGTGGGCAAGTTTTGGAGGCAATTCAGGCTTCCATTGAGTGTGGACATGGACTCCATTAAAGCCCACCTTGCTAATGGGGTCCTCAGAATAACTGTTCCCAAGCTCGCAGAGGAGAAGAAAAGGCAACCCAAGGTCATCAACATTGTGGAGGAGAGCAAGGGGATGTGAGAGTTTGGGCTTTTCTAGAGAGAGAAAAGGCATTCCAAAAAGCTTGTTGGTTGTTTTCAAGAGAGATAAAAGTCATTGGAGCAAATTCTTGGTTTGGGTTGGTTTTTCAGAGAGAGAAAATGTGAGAGTTCACGAGCATGAATCACCTATTTAGTATGTGTAAGTCTGCTGTTGGGTTTGCAGGGGAGGTGCCCTTCTCTGTGCAATGGCTATTTGTAATGAAATAATCTTCTCTTATTTGTAGGTGTGGTTTGTGTGAGAAACTACCTGAATTTCTGTATATTCCGGCCTTGTATGTTTCAGAGCTCATCGAAGATGGAGCTCCGATTTATAGGGTTATGAAGCTATGAACTACTAAATAAGGTAACATACAATAAATGACATAAACAATGAACCCCATTCTTAGTATGCTATACATGAAATTCCTAGTAAAAAATATTGTACTAAAAAAGCAAGTGCAGTTTTCTATAATTTTTATGGTCTCATTCAAACTGAATATGAGTTAAAAGAGAGTTTGGACAAATACAGGTTTCAGAAATAAAACAAGAACTGAAGAAGCTTAAGCTGCTATAAATTAGCGATATTTAGAAATTGATGTTTTGAACATAACAGTCTCGCATAACAACAAGTCCACAATTGATCAAGTAATGGAAAAAAAAAAAACTCAATCATCACACATGATAGAATAACTAGAAACTCCATTATCCAATTTGATTAAGTAATGAAAAACTCAATCATTAACATGATCGAATAACAGAAAACTTGATCATCAATCAAGATCGGAAAATTCGATCATCAAATATGAGGCATTTGGAAGAGCCAACATAAATTAGCGACGAATCAACAAGCGCAGTTGGACTTTAGATTCAAAGTTGAAAAGTAAAATCCATAATAGATCAAAGAGTCGAAACACGATTCGGTAGAGAGATGGATCAGATAGTTGAAATACGACTAGGTGGCTATTTTTGCTGATGGTTTATATCAGCCGTTTTCTAAGGCCATTTTCAGATGCGGGTATCAGATTCGGTTCAACGAGAGTCCGGCATCAAAGGGGAGCTTGGCAGCATTTTTTAGAGGTGGGTTTCAAATTTAGCTTAACAACGGTCCGTCGTCATCAGTTAGAGAATATGACAATGGTATGCCCCCAATCATCTCTGTCTACGGCGAGCTCAGGTCTATGGGTTTTGACTCTCCGCCGAACCGATTTAAGAAAGGCAATAGAGAACGCAGATCTATGGGTTTTGACTCTCCGCCTAACCGATTTAGGAAAGGCAGTAGAGAATGCGACAGTGGCATGCCTCGATCATCTCTCTCTACTACGAGCTCAAATCTATGGGTTTTGACTCTCCGCCTAACCGATTTAGGAAGAACTTTCCACTCGAGACACAATCCCAAAATGTTCCCAACGATTTTCACGAGCAACATATCCAATAGGAGCAACAGCTCTTAAAAGCCGTGGAAGAGCAACATATCCATTCGAAGCAGCATCTAATGCAAATAACAAAACAATTTTCACGAGTAACGCAACATTGATTAAGTTAACTCTTTTAATGAAAACCTTGTTGATGCAAATACCAAATGTGCAAAAAAGCAAGTAATGCAACCAGCAAAAACAGGAATGACAACCTACTAGGATTGTTGATCAAGTAGACGATGTTGATAAACTTCTACTGTTTTTTGTCCGCCCATGGATGATCGACCCAAAGAAGATGCACCGACTAGGTGAGCAAGAGACTTATCTTGAAAATCAGTAACAATACTTCAGGGACGAGAAATGGACATGGTGAATATGAATCTTGCTCTGATACCAAGTGAAAAACTGACTGTATTTCTATATATTTGGACCTCAAGCCCTCATGAAAATGGAATATGTATCTCAGAGCTTATCAAATATGTTAACAAGAGCCCCAATTTATAGGGTTTTAAAACTATTTATTAGTAAAGAAAGTAATATATAATGTGGGTACACATAAAAAAAAGAAAAATATTGTACCAAAAAATAAGTGCAAGTTTTTATAATTTCCACAATTTGTACAAGGTTGTAACCTTAAATAATCAAAGTAAGGCAAGCCTCCAAATTTCATGATAAAATATAATTTTTCTATTAATAATTATTAAGATGGCTTGAGAATTTATTTTTATTTTTAATTATAAATTTTTAAAATTTAAAAATAGTTAAAAAATAAGTAGAGCTATAAATATATGAAAATGTTGATAATGGACAGTTCAAATAACGTGTTGTAAGATACACTATTTTTTGTGATTTGAAGATTTTTTTTTTAATTGGAAAAGGTTTTGACGACGATGATTCATACATCTCGACCTTAGTTAGTTGGAAAAATGTTTTGACGACGACGATTCATATATCTTGATGTTGAGATGATCAATTAGAGAGTTCTTTAGAATCAAAACAATACTTTGTGATAGATTTTTGAAGTGCATTTTTTACTGCATTTTAAGATTGTAATTTTATATAAACTTTTTCCTTTTATCTGGGGATGTGTCATCCCTCTTCTCATTTTTTGTTAAGAAAACAATAAAGCAAAAATGAAGAAGTTAACGATGGCCTAAAGACCATGGACCAAGAAAATTGATTGAACGAAGAATGAATACTTGCTAAGATTTTAGGAGCAGTGTTCGAGAAAATGAATGGGTGGCCAGATTGGTCCTCTAGATAATCGCTATGTAATATGGGATCAGTGGTATGGATCGGTGATTTGGTCGAGTGAATTGATCATAATTATAAAGAGGTCATAGTTGCTATTAGTCATTATGTGTGAAATTGGGTGTATCTTCAAGTTTAAGAAATCTTTTTTGAAATTTGAGTATAGTCAATGACATACAACCAACCAATTTGTAATCCGGCAAACATATCATTATGACTTCCTTGTATTTAAATTAAATTATTTTTTATAGACTTTTTATTTAAATTAAATTGTTTTTTATAGACTTTACTTTCATATGAGAAAGGAAGTGAAACAACACACTCTTATGTTGTATGGGATTATCAATTCTCATAACAAGAGGATGCTTTATGGAAAGGGTTTAATGAATGTGGCAATTTGGAACCATGATAATCAGCGTTTTGGAAATTTTAGATAGGGAATCGTTGACCAAGATTTCCTCCTTGTATTTAAAAGTAAATTGTTTTTATATACTTTTCTTTCATTTGAGAAAGGTAGTGAAACAATGCATTTTTTATGGTATATGGGATTATCAATTCTCATGACAGGAGGATGCTTAGTGGAAGAGTTTAATGAATGTGGCAATTTGGAATCTTGATAATTAGTGGTTTGGAAATTTTAGATAGGAAATTGTTGACCTAGATTTGGGATTGGTAGGCATTCATTTGATCCCAGCGGGAAAGAGGTTCATTTTTGACTCAGTTATGTCATATAAATGAGGGAGCCTCAGGGCATCAAGTGATTGAGTTGGCTTGCTTTTACTCATTTTATTCTTATTGTTCTGGCTTTTTTGTTGTTGTTAGGGGTGGTTTACAGACTGCATTTACTTCAAACAATCAAAGTAATGTGCATGTAGGAAGATGTAGTTTCAGTGTTATACATTTGCCTGGAAATTTATTTTCACCTTTGAATATGAAATCTAAAGCTCATGAAATGATGCGAATTGATTTGACTCATAAACACTTAAATTTTTTAAAATTTTTAAGATCTTTATAATGAGTTACATGATGCATCACTTTAAGACTTGAAAGCATTTTCTTTCTCGTATCCCTATATCTATATCGGATGTCGAAATGATATTGAAGGATTTTCTAGTGTTGTAACAACCTTTTCCCTTAGGTTTTTGATATACGTTACTTTTACCTGCGGTTTGTATAAGTCTAAGTCTCTAAACAATCAAAGTAAAGCACACCTTGCTGAGAAATATGGTTTCAATACTGGATATTTTTGTGATAGCCTTAAAATATATGTTCATTTCTAATTATAAAATTTAACGCTTCAAAAATATTGTAGATCAAACAAATCTATGAATAATTGAAACTTGAGGTCGAGATGATCAATTTGAGATATTTGAGCATCAAAACAACCTCTTGAGGTCTGCCCTTTTATTGTTAAGAGCAATGGTTTAAAAAACGGATCGGTGACCCGGATCGGGCTTCAAAAAAACCCATCAGGATCGGCGAATCGGCGATCCGGATCGGGAATCGGGTGAATCGGTCAGAATAAAGCTTAAAAAAAATTCGAAAAAATTATTAAAATTCATTATAAATATTGTTTTTTAGGAATTCAATAAAAAATGAGGGTACTCCATTAAGAATTTTCATGTTTTTGAATGAATATGCGAATATTGATATGTTCTTTCCTTGCATGAACCGCCATTAAGCATTTAATTTACAGTATTTCGTGCTCATCCCTACACTGTTGCTGTTGGGACTCGATATGTGAATAATATGGCTGGGATAGGGTGGCCTCAGAATCATCATCTCTCTCATTTTCTCTTTGAATAATATGGATTAAAAAAAAAAAAACAAATTTTCAAAAAAATCGATCATGGATAAAAAAAAAATCACAAATTTTCAAAAAATTCTATCATGGATTACAAAAAAAAATTCGATCATGGATTAAAAAAAAAAAATCACAAATTTTCAAAAAATTCAATCATAG